CACATGTAAGGTGTGAAATGGCACAGACACCTTTGGAATAGGATGAAGCAGACCCGGTTGTTTCCCAGTTGGTTTCTTCGTAAATTGGCATCCAAGACAACTTGCCACATATTTTGTCACGTATTTTCTCATCTTCGGAAACCAATATTTAGCTTGTATTTCCTCTAGACATTTTTCAGTTCCCAGATGCCCATGCTCATCGTGATATATCTTCATTATATGGAATCTCACACTCTTAGGGAGAACTGGTCTCAACCCATTCTCTATCACACGACATAACCGGCCGTCTACGACTTTATAGTCTTTCGTTAGTCCGTTCTTCTTTTTCTTGTTGGCCTCTTGTTCTAGCTTCAGATTCAACATCAATGCTTGAATTTCTTTGTCATCATCCTGTAGCGCATCAATTAAATCCTTTTCTTGTATGTGGTTTACTATCACAGGATTTCTACTCAAGGCATCTACATGCGCCATAGAAGTCCCTGGTCGATGGTCAACCTCAAAATTGTACTCTTGTAGATCAAGCCACCAACGGGCAATCCGTGGTGACAAGTCTCTTTTCAACCAAGTCATCCGTAAGGCAGAGCAATCAGTCACGACTCGAAACTTAACACCAGAAAGATATACTCGGAAACGATTGACAGCAAACACCACAGCAAGAGCTTCCAATTCGAAACTGTGGTACCTTTGCTCTGTTTCTGATGTCTGTCGGCTAGCGTAAGCGACTACTTTCATCTCACCATTCGGCTGCCGTTGAAGGAGTACACCACCGAGCCCAGCTTTCGATGCGTCGGTGTGAACTTGGGTTTCTCTGTCCGGGTGATAAATTGCCAGCACTGGGTCGGAGGTTAGAATATCCTTCAGGTAGCTTACGGCTTGATCTTGTTCAGGTTCCCAGCGCCACTCCACGGACTTTTTCGTGAGTAGAGTAAGTGGTCGTGCAATACTCGCGAAGTTCCTGATAAATTTTCGGAAGTAACTGGCGAGTCCGAGAAACTGCCGCAACTCGTGGACATTCGTAGGTGTCTTAAAATTGGAAACCGCGATGATTTTGTGAGGTGAAGGTCTTATCTCACCACCTGATATTTCGTGACCTAAGTATTCAACACTGTTTGTGAGGAATGAGCATTTACTACGTTTAAGTTTAACACCTGCAGCATCTATCAGCCCTAAAACTTTTCTGAGGTTGCTCAAACAGTCTTCAACATCCTTGCCCCACACAATCATATCATCAATATACACCTCAGCACACTCATGTATCACAGGGGCAAGTATTTCAGTCATTGCTCTTTGAAATACTGCTGGTGCGTTACAAAGTCCGAAACTCATCATCTTATATTGGTAGTGTCCTTCGGGTGTGACGAAGGCAGTAAAGGTCTGGATGATTCTTCAATTCTAATCTGGTGGTATCCATTAGCCAGATCAAGAGTACAGAATACAGTTTTGTCCACGAGTCTGTCCAACAAGTCTTGTATGACAGGCAAGGGATACCTTTCTTTTTTGGTTATTTTGTTAAGTGCCCTGTAATCCACGCACATGCGGTAACCACCATCTTTCTTTCGCACCAGTAACACAGGACTAGCATATGGAGATGTAGATTTTTCTATAATACCAGCATCCATTAAGTCCGCCACCATTTTCCGTATGATTTCTTTTTCATGGTAAGAAACTCTGTACGGTCTGTAATTTATAACTTTATCATCAGTCAGTTCTATAACCATTTCTATCTTACAATTGCCCAGTTCCATACCATCACCAGAAAAGCAGTGCTCATATTTGGTTAGCAGTTCGTCCAAGGAAGCCTTTTGGTCTCCATTTAAATGATCACCCATCTTAATATTATCATCACGGTATTTGTCTTTCAGCTCTGCTCTGGCAACACAGTCTTGTTCTTTTAATTCTAGAATTTTGTTCGTCCTGTTGATAAGTTTTATAAAAGCCTGACCATCATGTAATTCAACACTGTCTTCTATAACATCCTTCTCACATAATGGTTTTCTTTGTTCGCTCAACTTAATATTCATAATACCGTCAACAACAGGATCTGGTCTCACTAATACTTTGTTTAATCCAGGAGTGAGTTTTGTATCATTTTGTGGGTACAACCGTATCTTGTCAAAAGATTCACACAACTCAGTCACTTGAATTGCCATTTCATCTTCATACATGTTAAGCTCCGTTGAAGTTTTAACAATAACCAAGTTTGGTGATTCGGTGAAAGGCTGCCCAATGAGAACGTCAACTTCTTGCAGGTCATCTGGTACAACATATAGTTTATTCACCTTCTCCACACCATCAATTACAAGAGAAGTTGAAACAATTCCCAATGGTATTGTTAATCCATCTCCATACCCCTTTATAACAGTGTTATCGTTGGGCATCAGTTCCAAGTTCTGCATCTCACGGAAGCTCTGTCTCATGGTGTTACATGTGCTACCAAAATCTATATATCCATTAGAAGAAACTCCATTGACAAGCACCTCCTTGAAATATTTCTTGTCTGATGCATCATAGCAAATAGTTTGTACCTTGCGTACCAAACGATTTTGTGGACCCGTTCTTGACCTCTTCCTACACTCATCCAATGTGTGACCATCAATATTACAGAATGAACAATGTTTGCTTTTATTCTTCTTTTTAAAACAATCTGCTTCAACATGGCCTGGCCTTCCACAAAATGTGCATTTTTGGTTGCCCTTGTCTTTATGTAGTTTAGAGTTATCCTTACTGACGCGGCACCTGCTTGCTCTGTGACCAGGTTTGCCACAAGTGAAACACCTTGCCACCCTGTCCGGTCCACGTTCATTTTCAACTGATTTTCCGACTTGTCTTGACCTTTACTGGCAGCAGCTGAGGTATTGATACTTGCCAAGTACTGAAGCAAAGAATTGGTATCCCGGCACCCAGCTGATTTAGCACCGATCTCCAATAGCTGATTGCCAAGTGTGCCAATGATAGCCTCTGTAATTATTTCATTACTTAACTGGCATGACATACCAATTCCAAGTTTAGTGTAGTAAAATTCAATTGGGTCTTCGTTCGGCTTCCTGACCCGGTTTACCATTTCCCTTATTTGGGTGAGTTTATTTTTGGTGAAAGGAAACGCTCTGACCAATTTTCCTTCCACTCAGCCCAACTCATATCAAAAGTCACTTGATGCTCATACCAGCTCTTAGCATAGCCACCAAGTTTAGATGTGCAGTTACATATTAATGTGCGTTCATCCCAACCATGCATATTGGCAATCCCTTCCAGGTTCCGGATCCAATGTTCAACAGAGACCGGAGAGGTTTGCGGGTCAAATACAGGAATGAAATCATTGCGACCCATGTAGCGTACCACAGATTGCTGGGGTGCGCTTCCGGCATGATAATTAGTTGTCTTTCTCAGTTCTTTTAGGAGCCCCTCTAAGGCTTCTATTCTGTTGTTTTTCTCCTTTAAATTCTTCTTATACTTTTTGGTTTTAGTCTTTTCAACATCACTTGAGCTTGAAGAGGAAGTACTAGGAGACCTATGTCTCTTCTTATGCCGACCCATGATTATAATTGAGATAGGGTCTTTATATGAAATTTAACAATATTAGAACACTACGCTAAAGTTCTATTTTAGAAATTGTCTGTTAAAAGTTTTGTGCACTTACACTTCGCACAAAGATAAAACAATTCAAATTAAATAGTAAAGTTAAAGTTTCCTTGTAAAACTATTTATGGAACCAGAAGTTCAGTTCTAAAACTCTAATACGTAAACAATTTTAAATCTAATCACGTCCACTTAGAAACTAAACCTAATGAAATATTCTTATAAAACTAAAAGTTCGGTTCTAAAACCAAAACTCAACAAAGTTTATCTTTTAGTAAAGTTCACAGCACTCAATTGTTTCATCAACAACAAGGATCACAATTATCAAAGAAATATTCGATACAGCTCACCAATTGTCCAGTACAAACTTTTTCAGATCCTTTGTTCTAAGAGGAATGCGCAAGTAGGTACACTCTTACGCCTCGGGGCTTAGCGACCCATCGACACCCGATACGATACACGTGTGTCCTCGCCGTGTGACCACCCAAGGCAAAAGTTCAGAGTATGTATACCACTAACGCCACAATGAACACCAACAAGTCACCATAACAAAAAAAGTTTTGTACTCCAAATACTATTAAATTCTGTGTCCGAATGAAATATGAAATAATATAAAATTAACTTATTTCACTGTTCCAATATGTTCAATCACCGTCACCACACGTTTCACGAGTGCTCCCGAGTTTAGATAGTCGTACTTTAAGACAAAGGACAAAGAATTCAGGAACGAAATTTAACACCATCTAAGATAAGGAGTTCCTCGTACCATACCGAGCACTGGTACACTTGAATGCTAGTTGCTACGCGATAACGGATAAGTTTTATCACTTTTTTTTTTGTTTTCACTCACAAATTAATTGCAGGCGTGTTTGCATCCCGATTCTGAAACTATTGGCTCTAAATTAAACATAAGAGTTCTTCGGAATAAATACCTTTAATTAATAATTTTGGATCGCTCATAACGTAAACAATGGTCCGCGCGCGTCGACCGATAGCGTCCAAGAGAGAGAGCCCCAGGGCTGGGACCCACTCAGTTGTCGAGATTAGTGCTGATCATAGCTTGTCGATTTTCAGTCTAACAGTAGGTACTTAAGTTAGCAATCAGGACCAACGGCTTAGCGTGCCCTCCGAAGCACGGAACCATCTTTCTTTTCAAAACATTAAGTGGAATAGGTAGGTATTAGCCAGACTGGAAGCAAACTCAACAAATAAGTTTTGCGTTTCTCTGTCTGTCGTGGAAACTGCTAACTCCTCCTAAACCACGCAACGGATTTTGATGCGGTGTTTTATTAGATAGAGTGATTCAAGAGGAAGGTTTATATGTTCATCTAACATGACGGAAACATGCCTTTTTCCTGCGGGAAAATGAATTATACAGCGAGTGAAACCGCTAATGGGCTGGTAGTGATAGATATTTACTTTTGTGTGACCCACCGAGAATCGGACTCGGAACCTTTTGCGTTACAGGCACTCGCACTATCACTGTGCTACATCCCCTTGGTCGCGGTATGCTATAGTGCCAGCTATGATCTATACTATAACAGCCACAATAAAGTCCACTGCTGAACATGAGCCTCTCACTAGAATTTGGGGGTATTTGCCATACTGACCACGCTTGGCAGGTGGGTCGGTGAGCGCAATGCAAGATGTTGCAATGCGATTGCGAAATTGATCCAGGGATTAAACCCCTGAATGAATTTATCCCTTAGTCGCCTCTTTCGACACCCACGGGAAAGATATGGGGTGATGATATTCTAAGCCAGCATCTCACGGCACGGCCGCCATGCTCACTCGGCTGTAAAATTATATGAAATCTAAAGATCCAAATATCGTATTTGTGCCAGAACTGATACCCAACCTAATAAGGACCTCCGCCATCTTGGATTGGATCTTCCTTGTTCTTTCCTTTTTTCGCTTATTAGATAAAAATCGTAATCTATTCCGCTGTTCCGAAGTAAGTATTTTCGATAGCACTTCGAGTTACCCAGATATCGACATTAGGGATTGCAATTCCGCAGCTCATTTAACCCACGTGGGATTCATCAAATATTATTTAAAAAATCTAATAGAATAGGCAATTATTGTTTTAAAATAAAGGTTCTATAGTTAAGTTATAAACAATTCTCGAAATTTTAGTTTTCTAACGAAATATCAATGCATTTAAATTCGCGCATTCGTCAAGACATGACCGAAAAACTGTGTTTTTGCTAACGCAAAAAGTAGCGCGAGATCCTGCTTAGCGGGAATGCAATCCCTAACAATATACACTGGTTTGCAATAAATAAATTGATGCGTGTCTATAATAGGCCTTACTTAATGTAATAAAAATAGATTTATAGCTCTACATGCATTATTTTGGAAAGAAAACACGGAAATAGTACGCAATACGCGCACTCTCACTGATGGCGGTAGTACAACAGGAAGCTTTGTTCGGTTGATGTTTGCAGTTGAAAGGAGCCAATCGTAAGCCCCCTTCCTTTGTGGGTACTACTTCTGACTCTTTGTGAACTACAGTCATGAAAATAGTTCAGTAAAAACAAAAGCACATACATAGGTTCATACATCATCACGCACGCCTATATTATCTCTTGCGGAGTAGAAAACGGCCATTTACACCACGTCTGTCAAAAGTTTGAGAGTCATTCAGGAGACTGTGTATCACCACAGTGGCAGTTTTGTCAGCTTGTCGCCTAAAATATGCAATAACTTACGCAAAGTAAATGCATTTTTAAGGCTATACAATTATGACTACGCTTTAGCACACAGTACACAACCAACCGTACTCGTTTTAGAGTTTCACTGTTCACCGAAAAGGAGCAAACCCCACAGAGTAGACGTAAGACGTGAGACGTAAGATGGCATCTGTCAAACAAGTGATCGCCGGAAAGACGTGGAACGTACGACGTCGTGACGCTTAAAACCGTTTCCATATAAAATGTATGAAACAGAAGAAACAAAGCTACACACGTGAGACGCACGTCGCATCGATAACGGCTGACGATCGCTTGTCTGAGAGATGTCATGTTGCGCGTCACGTCGTGCGTCTATTTTGTGGAGCTAGCCCATAGCTTGTTTGTTTGATGTTTGCAGTTGAAAGGAGCCAATCGTAAGCCCCCTTCCTTTGTGGGTACTACTTCTGACTCTTTGTGAACTACAGACATGAAAATAGTTAAGTAAAAACGCAGTTATTTCAATGTTATACCAGAAATAACAAGCCGAAAGGACATAATAGCGCGATAGTTTTTAGGTAAATAAGCGATTTACCTGGGAACCCGACGTTTCGACTGAGTTTCATCAGTCATGGTCGCAGGCGGTCTGCCAGTTATGTAACTATTATGTGTGAAAGTAATCGGGAGTGCTTGAAAAGTTATATAAACCGAAAGGAGGTCAAAGTACTTATTAAATTAAACAGCCATGAAGCATGGGTCCAAATAAAAAAAAATGTTTCTCCTCCCTTAGTAAATCAATCAGCTGATCGGCGATTTTGTATGGGAGGTCCAATTTCTTTTTCATATTACGACCCATGTTCGATGGGGAAAGTTGTTCAGTTTCATGAATACTTTGACCTCCTTTCAGCTTGTAATACCTTCGTAGGCTTGTAGCCCGATAAAATGAATTTACTTGTCCACATAGGTATATATTCACGAACATACCTACATACATACATAGCTTATCTCTACTTAAATACCTACATACCAACATGAAAAAAAAAATGTTGGGCGTCTCAAAAATCTGAGTCAGTTGGGTAAAAAACAAAACCCACTTCACATTAGAGCCACATAATAGCCTGTATCTTGAAACTAGTGAACCTTTTATAATTAAATTAGCTACGACTCAAATGTTAAAGAATTTTCCACTTTTATGAAAAAAACTGGAATAAACATATTCTTTAAGCGAAAAAATGTCTAGGTAAGAATTTATTTTGTTTAAACTACCTACACATGTTTTCCGCCGAGCATAAATGTTGCCTACCTCTACAGGTTTTCTCTTTGCAAACTCATCACATCAAAAAAATATTTTACCGCTTGTTCTTTACACCATGTTCTAAATTAAATAATCTCTGTGGTGATTCCGTTTTACGATGGCAACACCGGGCTTAAAACACCCGGAAACACTACGACCGGACCTGGGAGTTCAAAATGACACCCGGGGGTCGAGACTAGAGATGCAACGAACACTAATTCGGCATATTCTGCGGTGTGACAACAGCCGTGTGGTGCCGGCTTGGATAGCTTCACCCCATATCTTTATCGTGGGTGTCGTATAAGCGATATTAAGGGATTTGAGATTTGATATGTATTGCAATTTTCAGGTATTCGGTATTTTCAGGTATTTCGGTAGAAATTCAGGATGGCGGATTTTTGTCGCAAAATACAACTGTGAAATGACCACAGTCGGGATTTCGTTTTTTTATACTTGTTTAATATTTGATTTTCAGTGGAATAAGTTATTATAAATTATAAAAAAACGAAAATCCGACTGCGGTAATTTCAAAGTTGTATTTTGCGATAAAAATCCGCTATCCTGAACTTCTCATTTTTTAATAAAGCAACTGTCACACGCTGCTGAGACAAATCTAACGACACCTCACATGTCAAGATCCGCTCAGCCATTTATTCAGTTGCCCATGAAAACGATTTTCTTGTCTACATACTAACCCACACACATACATAGCTATATACCAACCCTCCTGAGGCAGTCGGGTAAAAAATAAGTCGAATAGGCCGAATACCGAATATATAACGAAAACCAAATAGTTGCCGAATATCCGTTGCAGCTCTACCAGGTAGAGATTGTGAATGTGAGTGAGTAAATTAATTTTGTAAAATGTTAGTTATTTTTCAGCGCGCGTGTCGGAAATATTAAGGTCGGGACGCACTTAGGGCAGTTTAGTTGCGAAATTGTACCTATTTTTAATGAAATAACACCGATTTTTACACACACACACACACACACACACACACACACACACACACACACACACACACATAAGCATATCATGCCTTTATTCCTTGCGGAGTTGGCAGAGCGTCAACGGGCATAAAAATGTATTTGACGGACTGTTTCAGTAAAACCGAGTCCCTTTAGAAAGAAAGGGGTATCACACGGCAGATTTATCACTCTGACTTGAGAAAAAAGATTTCTCATCGAAACTCATCGAGGATTTAAAATAAGTTTAGAAGAAGTGTAAGACTCATTCCGTGCAAAAAGGTAATAAAAAAACTGATGTCGTATTGAGAACCTCCTTCTTATTTCGAAGTCGGTTACAAATAGTTTGACTTACCAATGCAGAATCGCAAATCTTATTACATCTTTCATAAGTCAGTGAAGTTCTGGGACATCTAATTAGTTGGAGCATAACTTAATTAAGAAAGCGCATGTAACGGTCGTACCTAAGTGTGAATTCTGACAAACACTTTCCTATTTAAATAGTAAATAAGTCTACATAATTTCAAGTCTCATCCCGCCCAGGTGACAATTGTTTTTTTGTATTGGCTTACTGGGCTTACTTCTGGCACAGATACAAAAGCTGCAAATTCGTTTCGTATTTTTTCATGTACTTGAAATCATTTAGGTAGTTACTTTATGTAGCTGGTGGTGATAAAGTTTTTTTTAAGGCTGTATATATATAAAGTAGTTCATTACGAACCAGCATTCGATTCTATAAAACCAACATTACTAGACGAGGGTAGATAACATATTTTTACTACGCAGACTTACGGCCATATGGGCCGACGATTTAAGAGAGGCAATGACTGGATGGCGAAAGCGGTAGTACGTGTCTTATAGCTTAACCCACTGCAATAGATATGCTGATGTGATCTGATGAAAGCTTATATGCCATTTTCCTGTGTTTTCAAAATATAGGCCACCGAAAGTGCTCGTGAAGAGCATTAACGCGAAAGCTCTCACGAGGTAAATGAGGTTTTGTTTAGGAGTGTGGTGGATATTTCATAGAAACAGATTTTTGCCAACTAAATTATTTATAAGGTTGCTAAGCTACGTAGAATCCGTGACACTCCCGACCAGCCGAGGACCGGGAGGTCTAACAATCCATTTAAATCTACGATACCACAACAAAAAAAATCCTTCTTAAAATTAATCAAAGCTTAGGAAACAATTCTATTAAGTTGCCACCCTTCTCTTTGTTTTCTTTCTTTTCTTCTTCTCCATTGCAGCAGCATCAAAAGCTGGTTTTATCTTAGCAGTCGCACTTAACTCCTTAATAACCGCTTGATGCGTTACAAAATGTCCCGAGTTAGTGGAAGAATAAACTCCAGAGACAGGACCTTCAATCGTCCAACCCAATTTGGTCTGCACCGCGAATAAGTTATTATCAAACTGTACAAATTCGCCGGTCCTTAATCTTCCTGAGAAGTCAGCACCAATAAGTAGCGTCACCTCATCAGGAGTATCCCTGGATTCCGTTAATTTTATTCCCTTTTGACGGAGATGCTCTTTTAATGTGTCAGACCTAACTTTAGGTAAAATGCCG